CCTCGGATTTCGTGTAGTAACAGATGCGGACTGATTAGACGATTGTTTTCTCAGCTGCTGTCATCCGAGACATGTTATAATCGTTTGTTTTCGCTAAACAGGTCTAAAACGTCGAAACGTTCTAACGCGTATATTCCCTCTCCCCCCGAACAGCCCCTAGTCCTCGCAACCGGTGGTAAGTTTGACGTTCTCGTTTCAAGGTCTGATTAGATTTTGTGCATAATCAGCTCACGAATAATGACGATTACAAGTCTTGTAGTTTTTTAATTATTCCGTTTTATATAAATCTTAAGACAGATTAAGATCGAATAAGGCTGACACTCGCCTTCTTTCTCGATTTCCCAAAGTTGAAGCGAAGTGCCAATCTCACATAATGTGGCTCTTGCGGTAGCATACATATGTCTTCTATCTCCACCACTCCGTTAGACGCTATGGAAGTTCGTCGTTTCTAGTGTCGACGTCTATGCACTCAATTATGCTGAATCTGGCCACACTGATTCGAGAATTCGTCTTCGATCCTACACTCCTACCCGGACCCTGTCAATAACGTCAGCCATACGCGGGGTTGGCAGATCATTGATTCGCTCCTTCCAACAACGGTCGCTCTCGCTAACTCCGCACTACCTTCCATAGCCCTGTTACATATCACTCATGCATGGGACCGAAACGTTTGATGGCGTGGGAGTAGGCCCGATCATCTAGCGTACAACCCCTCGAACGGGGTTAACTCATGTCATATGTGAGCACCCGGCCCAATTTTCATTACCTTATATGGTAATGCCCCGCCACTGTAAGGGCTCAATTTCTAGTATATAAAACTCTCGCCAAAACGTTACTTTGACACTCGAGGCAAGATCGGGCTATAAACCCCATCAAGCAACGTACCTACCTTAGCGGTTTTATTAGTGAGTGTTCATTAGACTAATCGAAAAGTAGCTCCCGCGAACGCGCCGCGTACAAGCCGACATAGAACTTTCGCCGTCAAAGCAACCTAGCAATAGTACTAGCTCTGTTAATTGACCATTGACATCGACTAGAATATATTCAAGTAGTTATCCTCACTTGCATTACTCACTTAACACAACCCTGAATCCTATTAACAGTAAGACTAGGGGTATCTCACAAACCCGGTACACCTTTACCGCTCGAGGTATACCATTACGATAGAGTAAGATCCTAAAAACATTCTAAAAACCTACGTGGCTCCCAGGGTATAACGCCTGGTTCGTCCACTCCTTCTAGCGGCTCCCAGGGTATAGAGCCCCTGGTTCGTCCGTGAAACTATACATTTTTCTTATAAATCTAACCCCTTGGCTCCCAGGGTATAGAGCCCCTGGTTCGTCCGGAACTCCTTTCTCATTCCTAACCATACGTAAAACCATCGGTCGAGTACTGCCCTCTATCGAATCCAGGATTTCGCGCTCGCGCTCGTAACAGCCCTAAGTTATTGCGGCTCGCCGTCCATCCTCAATTCCGATTCGGGCCCTGCCAAATAACGTCAACCACACGCGGTGTTGGCAGAGTATTACAGTAGCGCCCACACAAGTGATCGGATTTTTGACCACTTAAATGACCAGATTTATCCTCGCCAATTCTTAGATGCCAAGCGGCTTCGAACATCGAGCGTGTCAAGTGTAACTTAACGCCGGTCGTTATCGATACATTGTATGCAGAGTGTTCGGCCACCCCTGGGAAAAATTTTAACGGGAGATTCTAGAGGCTAAAATAAGACGAAAATCAAGAATATCAATTTCTTGACTGAGGCTTCGTTAAAAAGTTACTAACGTTTAAAGTTCCACCCGTAGAACGGCAATCTACTAACAGCTGCGCACGCGTGATAGTGATTCTCACTCAGAAAACTGTAAGGCTGTCGATACGTCGCTAATTGTAAGTAGAGTTTCTCATGCTGAGCGAGAACCACTATCGCGCGCACGCAGCTGTATGCAGGTTGCCTATCTACAGGCACAATTTTAAACGTTAATAACTTTTTAACGACGCCTCAATCAACAAATTGGTATTCTTGTATTTTCTTTTTATTTTGGCCTCTAGAATCCCGCATTAAAATTTTTCCCAGGGGTAGCCGAACACCCTGTATATGTAAGGAAAAATAATTGACTTCTATTAACAATAGAGCACAGTTTCCGTATTTAAGTTTTCATTCCTGAAAAGTTATGCACGAATAATAGTACTATCTCCCTCGAAAATACGGAATTACTACGCCTCCAGTGGCTCACGAAAGTGTTCGAACGCATGCAACAAATAAATGAAACGAAAGAGATATTTATGTTAGAGTTCAGTTTCGAAGATAACATCTTAATAGCTATTAGACACAAGTATCAGGATAATATGTGCAAAATTTCAACTCAATCTAACAGTGTGTATTGAAATTAAGAAGCATTTATTATACAAACGTACTGCATGAGGGTCACGATAGTGTTCGAACGGAAGAAATAATTTACATTTTTCACTACGTTGGTATTTGGTTGGACCTCCTTTTGCCTTAATTACTTCACTTAGACGTCGTCCCACGCTGTGCACCAAGTTCTCCGTCACTGTGGGTTCAATGGAATTCCATATTTGTAATATTTTTTGTTTTAATCCATCCTTTGATAAAATATTGTGGTTTTTTAATCTTCTACCGATTTCGGCGCACAAATGCTCGATGGGGTTCATGTCTGGGCTTTGAGCTGGTGTATGCAGCATATGTGGTGTATTATACATATAATAGCCACTCTTGCATAACAATCTTGGCTTTGTGCTTAGGGTCGTTATCTTGCTGAAAGTAAAAATTTTCTAACAGGCCTAATTTGACAGCACTTTCTTTTAAATTGTCTTTTAAAATATGTAAATATTTGGCCTTGTCTAGAATACCGTCTACAAATACAAGATTTCCTATTCCACTTGCTGCCATACACCCCCAAATCATAACCGAACCTCCTCCGTGTTTCACAGTTGGGCATAAATTTCTCATATTCATTTCCGTATTCGGTTTTCTCCACACATATCGCTGTCCATCCGACCCAAATATGTTAAATTTACTTTCGTCGGAGAAAATAACTCTGTTCCAAAAGTTACAACCTTACTTTCGTATTCTTTTGCAAACTTTAATCGTTTAGTTTTATTCGCTTTACTGATGAATGGCTTCTTCCTTGGTACTCTACCATTAAAATTATTTTTCTGCAGTATTCTGCGGCATAATTCGGGGTGAACAATTTTTCCAAAATCCTCACTAACCATTTGAGCAAGTCTTGTTGCCGAAATAGTCGGATCTTTTTTAATTTCGCGAACAACAATCTTCTGCTCCCTTGCACTTAACTTACTCGGCCGGCCTGCACGCTGTTTGTTTATCACTGTACCTTCAGTTTTTAACTTTTTTATAATATAGTGGACTGTGGACACACTTCTACCTACACACTTAGCTATTTCTCGATACGATTTTCCATCTTTGTGCATCCTCACTATAATTTCCCTTTCGCATATTTGCGTGTCTGTTCTCTTTGAATTCATTGTCACTGAACACACGATAATCGACAACTAACGACATAGAATTTACCATGCGATGCCTAGAGACGGAATCAACTTACAAATGTTTACATATTTTGAGGCAAAACAATGTTTACTTCAATAAATTCCACGCGTTCGAACACTTACGTGACCCTCATGCAGTACGTTTATATAATAAATGCTTCTTAATTTCTATATACAGTGAGTGTAAAAAGTATTCGTACACTAGTTAATTTGAACAAAAATTTTGCAGAACCTTGTTTATTACAAAAGTATGTTAACAAAAACATACTTACATATTCTTAGAAATCTCTGGAACAAATGTCATTAACAACAAATTATTTATTTACATTTATTATGAAAATATTAACAAATTTCCAGAAATTGGCGTGAAATATACGTGTAATAAGTATTCGTACACTTCTAATTTTACAACAAAAATTGTAAATTTTAGTATATAAACGTAACAAAAATCAGTCTATTTGCTATTTTAGTATCTAGTGGGATTTCCTTTAGATTGTATAATCGCTTTAAGCCTTTGCGGCATTGAATTTACTAAATTTTTGGTTATAGTACTAGAAATTTTGTTCCATTCCTCTAAAAGTGCATTTTTTAAATCTTGTTTCGAAGAAATGTGATGGTCTCGAATTTTTTCTTCAAGATGACTCCATAAGTGCTCTATCACATTTACGTCTGGAGACTGTGGAGGGATTTTTAATTGCTGCGGCACATTATATAGGATCCACTGACATGTATTATAAGCATTATGCTTTGGATCATTATCTTGCAAAAATATATAATTGCCCTGTAACTGCATTTTATTTGCACTAACCTGAAGATGCTCTTTTAGAATATCGATGTACATTTTGTGATCCATGATACCATCGATAAAATGGAGGGATCCAACCCCGCTCGCACTCATAGAGCCCCAAACTGTGACTGATCCTCCTCCATGCTTTACGGTCGCCTTCAAATTTCTTTTTTCGTACTCGGTATTTTTTTTCCGCCATACTGTACATTGTCCATCTGACCCAAATATGTTAAATTTACTCTCATCAGTAAATATAATACGGTTCCAGTGCTCCATAGGAACATTAACGTACTCTTTCGCGAATCGCAATCGATTCTTTCTATTAATTTCATTTACGAAATATTTCTTACGAGCTACCCTGCCGTGATATGACTAGTGTACGAATACTTTTTACACTCACTGTATGTACACTGTTGAATTGAGTTGAAATTTTGTACATATTATCCTGATACTTGTGTCTAATAGCTATTAAGATGCTATCTTCGAAACTGAACTCTAACATAAATATCTCTTTCGTTTCATTTATTTCTTGCATGCGTTCGAACACTTTCGTGAGCCACTGTATGTAAGAGTGTGCCGCTAAAGTCGAATGGTGTGGACTACGAATGTTGAGGATCAAACGTGCGAAGTGGTCCCTTTGCGCCTGTGCCGTCCCGCTCGTCATTTTCTCATCGGTCTACGATACCTGACTCTTCTCCTCATCGAACAGTACCACCCGAGCGACCCGACGCTCCCCGAACCGTCCCGCCGGAACGACCCAAGACGCTCACCGAACTGTACCGCCGTCGAACACTAACTGTAAGTTCCGTTAGCTTTAAACTGTCGTAGTTCGTAAGCCGCATGCCGTCTTATAAACGTCATGTAATCGTCCACAAATAAATCTTGTTAAACCGCCACACCGTCTACTCTTCTCACTCTCCGTCATGAACTCCGGCTAACCGACCGGGTCGGCGACAAACTCTTCCTCCAGTTGCCCCGGACCGTACTCGCCGCCAGAGTACGGTCACAACGTGAATATCCAGAGGAATGAGTGGTGTTCTTCCACTAATGCAGTGTTTCCCAACCTTATTCAAGTCGAAACCCAAATAATAGCTAAATAAAGTTTAACACAACGACATCATTTTTACTTATAATTACCGCTTGAGGAATCGATTGGAAAACTTATGTTGGTAATAAAAAAAATAATAACTCCCAATTCCGCTTTGAAAAAAAAAGTTACATACAGAAGTATTCTTAGTAGAGTAAAAAAATTATTCTGTACAAAAAGATTTTAAAATATAACTCTAACTTAATATTTTTAAATCGATTTAATACGATCGTGAGTATTAATCTATTAAATTATTCGTTCATGATATCGGGGCACATAAATTAACAATTTCAAACAGTTTTATTACATTTAAGAGTGAAGATTCAGGATTCAGAATTACAAATTGTTAAAACATCTATGATAAAAGATTTGAAATTAACGTTAATCGCGTTGTCCATAAATGAACAGTACTTTAATGCTGCAGAATAGACAAGATGTCCAAGTTTTGACTTTTAACCCGATGGTCACACGTGTATGCATCGTTCTTTGACAGTTCAGTTGCGCGCGTAATTATTGGAAATCCATTACTTCTGAATGAAAAATCTTCCACGATGGCACGAGCTTCGCATTCCGCTTGAATCTTCAATAACGCCGATACTCGCCACATAATATTTATTTTTTCCCCGATAGTATTCGTGTTTCGCTACGTTAAAATTTTGACACCAAATTCGCCACATTCCCGCTTTAATAACCCCGCGATCAAAAGCGCCGAAATCGCTCCACGAAATACCCAACAAGAACACATTTTATTACGGCGAAACTGTATGAAATCTCAAGAATGCAATTCTTCGCGTGCCGTAAATAATTTTGTGATATGAATTTTCTGACATCGTCATGATAAAATATTATTTTGTTTCTAATCAATAATCTCGGAAATTTTGCAGGTACCGATTCTTGTAATTTTTCTAATTGGACAAAGTTTATATTAAATGTAACAGTTTCATTATTTGGTCTCAATTCAAAATGAAAAATGGGATATCGTTGTGATGATTTTTATTTAAGAATTTAGATTCCACTCCGCTTCGAGTTTTGATATTACTCCTATTTTCCCTCAAATTGTTACAATTGTTATTCTTGGTATTTTAAAAACACGAAATATTCCCTGAACAAATAAATTTCATTTTTCTCCTATTAAATTACGAATTCTATCCTTGTCGAACTAACAATAAGAAGAACACACGTATTTATGAGATGATGGTAGTTAGTGAAAAAAAAACAAAGTGTTCGTGTGATATCCACGTAGTCGATATTACAGAAGACATTGGCTGCCAAACGACACTTACGTAAATAAAATGATGCGTAAAGGATTTTGAAGATATAAATTTTAGAAATATTTAAAAACTAATGGACACCACATCGGAAGAATTAGCGAAACATCGAGACGAGTGATCTTGATTAAGTGCCGAATGACGAGGAAGAAGACGTAGAAGAAGGAGTTCTAGAAAATGAATTGACATTGCACAATCTGTCAAGAGTTTCAATAATTTAAGACTACTTTTGACTTCTTTTACGACACGAACCCTTTTATGAAACAGACAATGAGACTAAAGCAAACGGTGAAAGAGGAGGTGGTGCTGTGCAGAAACATATTTTGAGGAATGAGGAAGCAGGAAAGTCAGAAAAAAAATTACGATGTATTTCCGTAGAGTCGTACCAAATGTATGTACCTGCTTTACCTTCCATCTCTTCTGTCTCGTTCGCCCTTACCCCCCTAAATCCGGAAACAGCAAGCCCAACCAACCTAACCCTCCTTTTCAGCCTATTCAACGTGGCGAAGACGAGGATGAAGGCCATTATGATGATCCACTTCTGTTTCATGAATATATGAAATAGTTTAAATAATGTACAATAATGTATGTGCAAATATAAGTACGATATACATATAGGGTGTTCGGCCACACATGGGAAAAATTTTAATGAGAGATTTTAGAGGCCAAAATAAGACAAAAATCAAGAATATTAATTTCTTGATAGAGGCTTCGTTAAAAAATTATTAACGTTTAAAGTTCCGACCGTACTGAATTTTTTTCTAGAATGTGGGTAGGATTTCGAGGGTAGGTCTATTCACCAAAAATTATTGTAATTGACCCCCGCAACCGCAAATAATTTTTCCAGAATGATTTGAAATTTTTTAATTTTGTCGAAAAATTTAACACCTCGAATTTTTTTCTCGAAAGTGGCTAGGATTTCGAGGGTATGTCTAATGATAAAAAATGATTGTGATTGACTCCCACAACCGAAAATAATTTTTCCAGAACGATTTGAAATTTTTTTTTTCGCCGAAAATATTGGTACTACCACCCCCTGTCGATTTCTCTTAAAAATTACTTTTTCATTTTTAATAAATTTGTTTGACGGTCTATAGAAAAGTTGTCTAATACTTTTTTGTAGGTACCCATGGGCTCTGCTCCAGAAAAAAATTTCAATGAGATACCTCTTGAGATTACTATTGTAGGAGTTATGGCCATTTGAAAATTGGACCAGTTTTAGGGGGGTTTTCTCACTTTACGGTGTCAAAGAACAAGTTTTTCAATATTGTTAGAATTTCTACATATTCTCCACTTAAATAAGCGTTGTTTGCATTTTGGAACATTAAAATCCTTCAATCCGTTCAGAAGTTATGATGTTTTGATGATACGCATGAAATTTCGGGGAACCATTTCTGGCCACAGATTACATTTTCGGTAAAGAATTTTTTTCTTGAAAGTGCGAAGGATTTCGGAGGTATGTGTATTCACCAAAAGTGATTGTAATTGACTCTCACGATCGAAAATAATTTTTCCAGAACGATTTGAAATTTTTTTTTCGCCGAAAAATTTGTCTATCTTTCTAAATTTTTTTCTTTAAAGTGCGTGGGATTTCGGGGCTATGTGTATTCACTAAAAATGATTGTTATAGACCCCCGCAACTAAAAATAATTTTTTCCAGAACAATTTGAAATTTTCTAATTTTGTCTAAAAATGTCAATACCTACTCGAATTTTTTTCTCGAAAGTGGATAGGATTTCAAGGGTATGTGTATTCATAAAAAATGATTGTAATTGAGCTCCGCAACCAAAAATAATTTTTTCAGAACAATATGAAATTTTTTAATTTAATTTTATAATAACTTTTTAATAAAGCCTCAGTTAAGAAATTGATATTCTTGATTTTTGTCTTATTTTGGCCTCTAGAATCTCCCATTAAAATTTTTCCCCGGGGAGGCCGAACACCCTGTATGTATGCTCTCTGCCTTATAATTTTCCTAATCGGATTTCCTTTTTTCTAATTTATTTCATTGTAGGAATACAACAGTAATTATTATAGTTAAGGTTTGTGGGTGTCAAAATTATACACGTTAAAAATTCAGGGGAAGCATGGAAGCAAAATCATCATTTTATATTTGACTTATTCGAATAACACGCTTTGGGTAGCCAGGACACCGGTCATTGAACAATCGTGAGTATTTTGATAATTGTGAGTGATTTGAACTCCCCCATTAATCAAACAAATGTATTATCCAAATCTTAATTGCTTCAAGCGATTTCTTTACTCGTTGACAAATGTCATCAAACAATCATCAAAACTTAAATTTTTCTATTTCTATTTATAATTTCTAAGGTTTGGATCCTCGAAAGCTTGAATCGTCCTTCTGTATACCAAACACCTTCTACGAGAACATCGTTTTCATAACTGTCATATCCCCCGTGAAATATTCCACCATTTCTAGTTGAACGGATCATCACCCTGTAGATTCACCACTAATTGAACAATTAACAGTCTTGAAAAAATTATCCAATTTTAACATGATATTAGCAAGAACGGAACGGCATATAACATGGAAGTATATTCATATAAGACTGTAAAATTTTATTTATTCATTTCCATAACAAAAAACCGTTGTCGCCATGCTGAATCTTTTCAGAGTGACTCTCAAAGATCGAATCTTGAAAGAATGACTCTCAAGATTGAACGTTGGCTGAACAAGAAGCGTTAAAATGTTAAGAAGCACTAATACGGTAAAAAGCATCTTGTTTAAACTGAATGCCTACTTTAAGTTTGTAATTATGCGATAGGACCTTGTGCTCCTAAGGTCCACACATCGGGAATTGTGTGCAAGTATACGTAAATATACGTTAGGGGTGTACAAGAACTCAATGTTCGGGACAAGTCGGGTTGGATCGGGTCGGGTCGGATTCCCGAAAATTTCGAGAACCCAGCTACCGAAACCACGAATGTATTCATTCAAACGAACATAAATGGTTAGTGAGTTTTCGGAATTTTCGGGTATTCGTCCAGATATTTCAGGTTCTTGAATACCTTTAATATACGTATATGTTATACACAGTATATACATATATGTACGTATGATGCGCGTACCGAGACACGAAGCTCTATGAAGGGTATAAAGCCCTTATCTGTGGGTCCCCAGTAAGGGAAGTTCTGAGTTTACGAGAGCATTCGTGTGTTCCTGTAGACGCTATCCGACACGTCGGAAGTATATCAATAACGAGCACATAAGAAATGCTACATGAAACTGCACGTGAAGCAACACGAGTCGTGTTTATAGAACGATTGAATATTTATAAAGCGTGGCAATGACTCCAACTGAATCCTAAATGCACTCTACAGAGTACATCCGACAAAAACGCCGAAAATGTTTGAACTCCGAAAACAAAGCTCTTAGAGCTCTTATACTTTAAAAGCTCGAATAAAATTCACAATTTTGAACATAAAAATTGTGTCAACGTGTAGTAAATGTATTAATAAATGTTTTGAGGGATAATTCAAATATAAGATTGTAAATGAACTTGTAAATACACTTGTACCGACATTACATCACAAAGTTCACAGAAATAAGTTTGTCAAGATGCTAATAGACGTTTAAACAATCACGAAATAGTTCGAATCTTCGGAATAATTCAATCCATGGATATAAATGGCAGAGAAAACCGAAAATACAGCGTAGATGTGCATGTAA